TGTCTTTGAATTTTGGCTTAAGGTTGATCATTTTCAACTACTCACTGCTTTCTCTGAATAATTTTAGTTTTAACTGTTTTGATTGTTTGATACGGATGAGGTGCGATATACTAAAATCTTCAATGCATCATCGTCAATACTGGTTAAAGATTATTATTTGTTAAATATATAACTTTCAAAATATTTTTATTTTTACTTTATCAAATCGTTGCGAGACTAATATTTCAAAACGAATTTTTTAACTTCTGTCTCTGTGTTAACGTCAGAAATTTGCGGCAATTCGTTTAGGATTCTCTTCATTTTCATCGATAATGAGCATTAGGAAAGTGAAAAATTTGCTGATCGCAAATGTATTAATTCTCGTAACATAGATTTAGTACTGATACTACTCATTTACCAATAACAAGTATTCTTACTTATCACTCTTTTTAAAAATGCGTTAGTCTAGGAGAACAGATAATGGAAACAATTATCAGATAATAATAGACTGCAGGTAATGGAGGCACTGATATTGATACTATCGATAGTATCAAAATTCATTTTCGAAGATTTCTCGTTACCGTTACAACAAATCAAGCAACTGCATTCCTTGCCGTTGAGTCATCTGACCCTTCTTCTTGTAAAGTATCAAATGAATATCGATACTTTTCTAAAATGTCGAATAGATATTGAATTTTTTAGAAAATTACAAAACAGATACCGCTACTTTGTAATATTCACATTAGTCTTTACATGTTTGGTACTATTTTATGGGGTACAGTGAACATTGGATAATTGCAACATCGGAGAACTCTTCATAATTGCAACGTCGTCATCCCCGCCACATCCCCGCCAGGTTCCCTTTAACATACCATAGTGCTCTACAATCGATCGCGGTAGAAGGGTGTTACATGATCCAACTATTATCGGACTCGACGATTTCAAGATCTCTTTCTTTTCTATTCGCAGTCGTTTTCTACAACCGAAACTTCAGTCGCTTATTATACAAGCAATTATGATCGTAATTCTATCGTGTTTGGTGTAATTTTAATCAGACAAACATAAAAAACATGTTGGTGAAAGTTTCATTTATCAAAAGTCAGAAATGAAAAAGTTTAATTTTGGGTTAAAAGTCTCAAGCTCATTATCAGCCTTTAACCCTTTTAGTGCCGAGCGAAAAATGGGTGCCTGTGTGAAGATAACCGGACGAATTTACTAAGGTTTTAGAGAAAGCTCATAAAAACCAAACTAAAAATGATATTTACATAATTCAAAAAAAATTCTTGCAATGAAATTAAACCATTTATAACGTTTTATAAATTTATTTTGAGGTAGAGTTCTCCCGTAATGCCAATAGCAAGGCGCTATTGGATGCGCATTAACTTTTCGCAAGTGTTGCGAACGACAAGATATCGTCGTCCGGCACTAAAAGGGTTCATATTGCCGAATGCTTCAATTTTCAATCTTTCTTTTTCCGTCACTCGCGTTATCTTTTTCTACGTCCGCCATGCTAAACTCTTCGTTTCTTGGGGTTGATTCGATTCTACCTCTTCATAATTGCAACTTCCTAGTCCCGTTGAGTGTTGCTATAAATCAAATTTTCACCGTATTATAATTTGCAGTTTGGATAATGACAAGTCAGTTATTGTCACAATTGCTTATTGCTAGTCATTTGAATAATGGATTAACTAATTGAACAGTACATTGGGAGCAAAAATTCCATGTATTTCCAATTGAAATTGATTCACAATGAGTTACACAGTGCTGATGTGTAGTAGAATATGAAGTGATTAATTACTACGCTTGAAAGCATCCAAGTGTTCTAGGATTGATAGTGGCAGATATAAATTACAGTTAGATTTGAATTTGCTCTATCTCAAGATCCGTGAATAGGCAGTCAGTCAATGGTAAGATTTCCTTGTTATCGTAATTATTACCAAAATTGCAGTTAGAGCTGTTATCAGGATTATAAGTGTAATGATAGGTACTATGTTTGCTTAAATTCATCAGTATTGGATATTCCATATCCTGAAGCGTAATTATGCTCGTTTACAAGGGCTACATAAATTCATAGTTGTAAAATTAGATTAAACCAATCAATGCTATGTGCAGTTACAAAATAAAAGACCTGGGATATTATTTATACAGAGTGAAATAAGTTTATGTTACTGCTATAAATTAGCTTCTTCTAAAATATCATTTAAAAAACTATACCTTTTTAGATTAAGTAATTTGCTCTGAAATTTGTTCAAGAAATATTGGAGGGTGTTTATTATTATACACGACAAATTTCTTTTATTTATTAATTTCTAATACATGACAACACATAATTAACGCAACAAGTTTCCTACTGTAAGTGTATATGATTGTTAATATTGTAGATAATACACGTGCATGTAGTATAGTTTTATTAATTTAATTTATATTTTTTAATAGTATAATAACTTACAATTTTTATTTAAAAAATAGATATTTATTTCATATAATTCAACACTGTGATTGCCAGGAGAATTTCGCGCGTTTGGTGTAATATTATTCTTTCGTAACAAAGGTAAATGGTATTAGAATAAATTATTAACGAGTTGGTATCATAGTTCTCAAGTTATACTATTATTTCGTTACTTATGTGAGTAAATATTTTCATTCAGCATCAATTTTTTTATTGTAATCGTTTTCAAGAAATTTGAAAGCGTTGTGACGAAAATTTCAAACTGAATTCGAGAAATCTGATCTTAATTCTACATTTTTTAAGTGTAAATTAAATATTCGTTTTCTACTATTAATCGTTAACATTTAATGTAAACGTAGATATAGAATAAATTATTAACGACGAAATAGTTACATCGATCATGGCTAAGAAATAAGTCGTAGGATAATGGGTTAAAATTTAACTTTGTTGGAAACCGAACTTCGTAACTCGACGACATTGACTAACTTGTGTACGAAGTTTCATAAACGTACAGAAGGATGAAAATATCACTTCCTCCATACCTGAAAGTCATACAGTAGATGCTGAATTATATTATAGAGACGTGACGCATCGTTTCCTTTGACGGATTCAACAAGTTCAGTCGGATATACATCGAGCTAGAGAATGTTGAACGCGTCATTCCGCATCCCGGCCATAGTGTGACAATTTTTTACGCCGACAGGTGTTTTCGCAATTGAGATCTATCTACGACATATGAACTTGTTATTTCCTTTTTGTTTGAGTTTATTTTAAGATGTTCACACTAACAGTAAAGTGATTGGTGACCACCAACATTTAGATACATTATTTGTTATTTAATAACACTTATTAATAAAATTTATTATTTAATAATACAAGATTTAGGGAACGAACATGTTATATACCCTTATGAGACACATATATCGCATTTTTTAATAAGAACATCTAATCGCAATAACATTTGCAAAAATATTTTGGGTGGATGGTACTTAAGATCCTGTATTTATATATTTGCAAGTTTTTTGTTTAAAAATTATTTCGATTATATACTTAAGATAAAATTATTAATTAATATATTAAGTAAACGCACTGAGAAGTAACATACCAAAATTATTAGTCATTAACTTTCTATTGTATTAATTTTAGATGTTTTATAGTTTAATACACCAAAAAATTTACATTTTGTTTCATTTCGATCCTGTATATGTATGAAGTTCTCACATAGGAATAGTCATAAAATGCAATAAATAACATTTTTTATGATTTTCTTACCTATTTCATTACCACACCAACATTTAAATAGAACAATAGCCATATTTTTGTTTAACTCCTCATAAAAATTAATGCAATAGAGGGTTAAATATCGTACTGGTTATTAAAACTGCAATAATTCCTGGAGGATCCAATATTCTTATGTTTAATAGTCGACTGCCGTTTACTGCTTTCTTTATCCGAGTGTTTTGTATAATTAGAAACGTTGATTTATTATTATAATTCAAATTAAAAAATTGGTTTGTAGTTATAATAAGATTGCAAAAATAATCAGTAAATTAAATTAATTAATAAATCACTAGACGATTAGGAAAAAAATTATTGTGAGTAAGTAATTCAAAACATATTTCTCGAAAATAAACGACAGTTGAGAAATTCGTTACAAACAGGGTAGAACAATATCTCCAAAGAATTTTAGCTTTCATGAATTTAAAATCCTTTAAAAGCAATTATTCTACAAAATATAAAAATTTCAGTTAAATTCCGTTTTAATTATTCTTCTTATTCCTTTTAGCTACATAATATGATCATTTCGTAGAAGAAATCCTATAATTATTCATGTGCACAACTTTGAGTGATAATGATTGTATGTACGACGTATGATTTGCAATTCGGCAACATATTCTCAGAAATATTTAATAAAAGTATTTAGTAAGAAAAAGAAACATCATAAAAAATGTTTCGAAATAATAAGGAATTAAGATCAATAAAATGATGTTTAATTTAGATATATTAATAAGAATAAATATATAATTACAAATGAAGATTATATGAAAAAATACTATACTATATAATATTTTGTTGTAGAACATACTTTTAATTTTGACATATGTCCATTACAATCGTTTCTGCCATTCCGAATGCGCTTCGTATTTATAAATTTTGAAATGAATTAGAAATGAGAACGTGCATAGAGAAAGAATTTTATAAAATTGATTCACAATTATTTTCGGTATTTTTTGTACTATTGTGAAATTGTATATAGGCACATAATTACTAATACAAAGACCCTGGACAAAACAATAAAAGTAACTTGAAGGTAATAGAATTATTGCAAAGTCTACCACTAACACAACACGTATGCAACTAAATTGAAAAACTGAAAGAATCGAAACGATTTATCTTCGGCTCGGGAAGTGTACGTACTAACAAGGGGTACGCCTGTTGCGATTTAATTGGGTACGGCTTTTTCACTGTTCGAGCGTTAATTAACTATTCTTGTTAACTCGCAGTTTTTTATTTTTTATTCGTACATGTCACTGTATCCTCCTCCTTCTATTTTATTATCTTTTCGTTGCAGCGTCACTGTGCGACATGGTCTTCAGCAGTGACACGACGAAAACTGGGATAGTCACGTCGCCAGGATATCCAAATCCTTATCCATCCAGAACGCACTGTACATATGACTTCAAGGGACGCGGCAAAGAACGGGTCCAAGTGATTTTCCAGGATTTAAATTTGTATCATACGCCCGATCAACCGAACGAGTAAGTATTTTATCTGTTATTTCGTATAAATCCTTTTAACGCGTTAAATGCTGTGTCGGTCACCAATGGCCGACGCTTCTGAACTGCTTGAATAAAATGACAACATGTAAGATGACTGTTGACAACTAAAAATATTTAACAACATAAATAAGATAACAATAGTGTAATGTAAAAATTCTGATGTCAAATAATTAATAATTGTTCCTATGTATCTTTGCTACGAAGAAATAAATCATGTATAAAACGTTCAAAATTTTCGTGGCGCTGAACGTGTTAATGTACACTTAGCCCTCGATTTACACGGTATTCGAATTGCACGGTTTCGATTTAATCCCTTGTTTTATGATTTATCTTTCAGCTGTGATCGATACGACAACTTAGTCAATAATAATTTGTTGAAAAAAGAGACTAATTCTATGCGTATTCTGTGTCTATGTTTGCCATACAATATAATAATTGATAACAGAAGAATAATATTTCATTTATATTCAAAGGAATTGAGTAATATTTAACAGTTATATTTCACTGGAGTAATATTTCACTTTAACACGGTCAGGTCAAACAAATGCAAAAATTACATTATTTTTTGTCTGTTTTGACAATTATATATGCAATCTTGTTGAATTAATGAATTTATATTTAAAAATATGTTTACACTTTTTATATTTTACAAAAAAATAAATAATACTGTTTCACATTTACAATGTGAATTGTGGACTCGAATTGCACAACTTCAATTTACAGGGCATGTTCAGAGAACCAATCTACTGTGTAAATCGTGGATTAGGTGGTGCTATTTAACACTAAACTAAAAAAATATTTTAAATATATATTAACAATGGAACTATCGAGCATTTAATACGATTAATATGTAATCCCTATAAAAATGATAACAATAGATTATTTCTAGTTTCTTCAGACATTCATTATAGTATTCAAGTGAAGCTATTTTTTTCAAGCTCATTTCGAATATTCAATGCTTTCAAGATATCAATAATTGTGAAACAATAAAATCAAAATCAGTCATTTTGACTGGTACGGTAGTTTAAACGTTAAATATATTCCCTTCCTAAAGATATGATCGGAAGTTAAAGTGTCGATACGTTTAGTTATAGGTACGTATCGTTACTAGACAATTTGGTTCGAAACTGAATCAACTTAAAATTGGTGCTTTAGCGAAGAAAATCAATTTCTCTTTTCATTTCAATTCCCATACATTGGTACATAAAAATCAATATGTGCATAATTATTCAGAGTTCAGTTAATCATTTCTCAAACATCTCTGATAATAATAAGTAAAATAAATATTTGAAATCATGTATTAAAATGAAATAAATTTTGATTATTAAATAAATATAAATAAATCAATTATAAACCCATAAATAAACATAATAATCAATGTATTATAAATATTATACATTGAAATAAATCTACATAAATTTTTAAGGTGGTCTACATTATTCACCGTTTTAAATAAAAAGTCGCATATCTTTTGTAAGTAAAACGATTCGAGTTTTTTTTTAATATTTCTTCATTTGCATGAATCACATTGCATTTGTAAAACACTTCATTAATGAAAATTCAGTTTCTGCATCATTAATTTCGTCGTGTTATAAATTATAAATATAAATAAATTGAAAATATGTGTTGTTATAGTTCATACATTATTGTACTTTACTTGCTCGGTTATAATACAATTGTAGAAAAAGTACAATTTGGTCACAATAATTTTCACCATTTGAAAACTAATTAGGAGCACAAGGTTCTGTACAAATATCGGTGCAGCAAAACACTTTTTCGTTTGTTTTTGGTGTGAGTTCTGTTCTATACACATAATTATGATTCCTGATCTAAACTATCTATTATAAATATAAATGGGAGTATTTAAAATCGGGTTACTAGTTTAACAAAAAAGGGAAGACAGCAATATAAATTTGTATAGTAATAGTTTTATCTTTAATGTGTTATTCCAGTACCCTGTTTACATGATTATGATTATTATTATAACGTATACATTTGTAAAATGCGAAATAAAGAAAAATGTAATTTACTAAATTTTCAAAAATTGGAGAAACTCTAGTAAGAAGTTTAAAATATTCTAGTTTTGAAAGTTGAAGAATTCTTTAAAAAAAGTGTTCCTTACATTAATATACGTAATTGGAAAATAAGTATCTGATTCATATTTGAACGAAAGAAGAAAAGCAGTTAAAAACTTAATTGATGTGCATCTTAAAATTCAATTAAGAACATTAGTGAAGCAATACACGGTTTCAGTGATAAATGAACTTCGTAAAGAAAGTACACACTGTGATTTTTCTCCAGCTTCTTGTAATTAATTCTTGATGATATACGTGATATACGTGGGCCACAACGTGCTGAAGAACTGCGGTGATAATTCTTGCCTCTGACCTAGTTTTTATACGCGCCACTTCTATAAACAACATCCTTCCCATCCTTGAAAACCTGCATCTCAAATGCAAAAAATGTCCACTTATGCTTGCATCACTGCAAAATTCTTAATGGAATTGACTTAATTATTTTTCGTAATGATTTCACGTGGTTTCCTTTCACGTGGTACCATTAAATCGAAATTGCCATTCATTTTGTTTGTCAGAAACGTCATTTTTCGCAGTGACCCACTTAACAGTGTTGCACAGATACATCAGGTGAATAAAAATTCGTTCGACAAATCATTCGAACTGTAATGAATCAATCAAAACTCTTTTCAGTTCATTATTCCAATCAATAAATTGATTGCAATTATGCTGATATTTAATGAATGCCATATTGCTTGAACCCATATTTAAAATAATATTACTGCAATTTAATTTTTAAATATTGATTGTTAATTGTATAAAAATTTATTAGAAACTGTTGTATTCATATCATTGTTGCTTTACCTTTAAAGCTTGAATCCTCGAACAGTGTAGAATGTAGAACAATTTTATTACGTTCATAAACATTAGAATAAAGTTTGAGTTTTATTTTCAGAATCACACACTTCTTGGACTGAGTATTGATAATATGGGCTTAACCTGTTTGAAGTAATTAACAGGAATTTTTGGGATGTTAAACAAATTTTTGTATATTCAATTATTGTTATTATTTATATAGTATTGTGAAAATCTTGTAATCCTCTTCAACGATGTAACCATTATAGGTGTACAGTGTAGCATCTGCCATAATCATTAGCGTGGAAAAAATTAGGTGCATTCTTATAGTTAAATAATTTGTACCGGGACTGAGCCCATTTTTGGAAGAAATATATGGAAAATAAAAGAATTACGATGTTTGAAAAAAATGTACTTTTTGGGTAAAAAATTTAAGCTCGTATAGTAAAAAACATTATTAAAATGGAAAAAAAATAATGATCATACATTCAATATCTGGAGAAATGTCTACTGATTAAAATGTACTTTGTTACAAGTCGATTGGTCAAATTATTTTTTTAGGTACCATGTGTACGAGTTTGAAAAACAGTTTCGAGATACAATGATTTAACGTTTTGTAAACGTACTTAGTAAATAGTGAGCATGTTTAGGTACTGCTAAACATGCTGTAACTTCTTTATCTTTCAGAATTTGACTTTCAAAATTTAAGAGAATATTACTGAAGCACTACTGATTTATGAAAAAAAGCAATTTATTGAGCCTGTTACACAAGAATTCCTCCTTAATGAAAAAGGTAAATTTTTTTCAATTCTACAGTTCATCAGTTAGCCTATCAAAATGCAAATTTATATGTAAAGACATCTGCAGTTGATTTTAATTAATATAGCGTTCTAAATTCATATACTAATAAATTTCACACGCGACTTTTTCATTTCAAACACTTATATACTGTATTCCAATTTTCCTAGTTGCCTGTAGATACACCCAGACATGAAACGAACACTAACTTATTCTAAATGAAGAAAAAGTAATTCATTCCGTTAGTCAATTAATCCACTCTGTACGTTAATAATAAAAACAAATTGAAATTTCTTCCTACTTAGTGGAGTTACATAGGTTTGTTGACAGAAAGAAAAAAATAAATTCTTCTGTATCCTTGTTATTATCGTTTAAAAGATATAAAAGTAGATGAAGAAGAGTACATTGATGTATTATTTTGTTCAGAAAGCAAATTGCGAATGGTAATTGGATATGTCACCGTGATAATGATCCGAAACACATCTCTCGTGTTTTGCAAAATTGTCAAACTCATAGTGACATAAATGTCATTATATATCCATTCTAAAATTCACCTCGTTTATCCCACAGAAAATCCTCGGGATTACTTAAAAAAACGGTATAACTAATACAACGTTTCAAAATACTGGAAAATTGTTTGAAGCGCTACAAGTGTCTAAGCATATATACATTTGACCAATCTATGATTAAATACAAATATTAAAATAGGATTTTTTTATTTGAAATACTGTTTTTAACAAATACTAGCTTACAAGGGAAGGTATCGAACCCGAAAGTTAAAAAAATTATGAAAGTTTGTAAGTAGAGTAAGTCAAGCGTAATACATTGCAATCTTCTTTCGTACTGAATTTAACTTTGAAGGGATAAAACCACTCCTTTAAAAAAATGCAAATGTTTCTTTCCCGTGGATTATTTTGAAAAATACATTGTCTCTTCACATATATCAAATTAGAAAATAAGATTTTCGAAATTCCAAATTCAAATTTAAAATTTTGAAAAATTTTATTTTGCAATTTTATAGACATGTAAGGTCTACGGCTCACAACGTATTTTCCATTTATACTG